TCTCATATTTTCTCTCTAGAACTTGTGAGAATGTTTTGCAAGATAGGCTAGAGTTTTCTTGGTGAGGTTAGAGATGAACTTCTGTTGAGTGACCCAATTCGGGGTTTTGATTCCTTATTCTGTAAACTTCAACATCTGAATGAATTAAATCTCATCTATTTTTCTATTACTTTTCAAAATATTGTGTGTCAATTTTTATATAAGTTTAGTCACGCTTTTCTTATGTAATTCTGTCATGCAATGTTTTGTTATTCAAATTATTTTACAAATTGTCTTTTACTGCAATATTGTCAGATTGATATATTGTCGATTTTAGATAACTTGTAATAATAATATTTCTGGAGTCAACATACAGATTTAATTTATTCGCTTATTTAATATTGTGAATCAAAACTTGGATTGGTGAACGAAACATTAGGGATTCTCGACACCTTACCGTTTTTATTATTGAATTTTCTTCATACAAATTCTCTCATTTCTATTTTATTTGCAACAAAATCTCAAAAACTATTCTTTTTCTTTAATTCACTTTTCTCTAACGCTCTTATTCTGTTAGTCTTTCTTGTTATTTTGTTATCTCTCTGTGGATACGACCGCCCTTCTGTGCTACAATTGACCGCTTGTGAATATCACTTTTGGGCGTTAATCAGGTATTTTTTGGGTGGTCATGGGTGGTCCAAACCCATCTTAGGTAAATTAATACAAGGAATCCCCTCTTCCTCACACGGCTGGAAACCCATGTTCTTCATGGTCAGGGGACCCTTTAACTTTCAACCCGAAGACTCCTGGTGCCACTGTCGGAAGGGGCAAACGTCATTTGGCAGACTAAGTGAGAATCATAGTAGATCACTCTCCTCCTTCCCCCTTCTTTTTTTTATAACGCTGACAGTTACCTTGATATGCAGTTAGCCACGATTGGCCAAAGCTTACTGGAAATAGACGGGCGAGGATTGAAGAGGCCTTTACGATTCCAGAGGGCGATCACCATATCGACATCCTTTTAATCGAGAACAATATCAGGGAAGCATGGTTGATTCTTTCCCTTCTGAGTCCTACTGACCTCCCAGGTGTTCAAGAATTTTTTCACCTAAACACAGAAGGTAAATCTTTTGAGTTCGCCTCTATTGATGATATCATTCCACGTCGACCCTTTTTATCTAACTTTATTAGTTGTGTAGAAATGTCTACTCTTCGAGGGGTGCCTCAGGGTCTACGTTGGTGCTTCCTCTTCAGGCCCGAGGAAGAAGTCGCCTTCGAGGGGTGCCTCAGGGTCTACGTCAGAGGCTCCTGCGCCCAAAGGGGTTTGCATGGAGGAGGTGCGGGTAACTGGGGGAACCTGGACGTCGGTGATTCCCATTCCCGATGTCGCCGAGGTTCCCCCTCGGCCCAAGGATCGCCTCCTCCTGCCTGAGGCAAAGATTATGTACCCGACCTTCTAGGTTCAGGATGTCTCCGACACCCAAATTGAGGCGATGCTAAATCTTCCT